CAAGCGATTAACTATTTTCTTGTAAAGATCTGAATTACGACTTATTTCAGATACATTTATGTCCTGTAATACAAAAGTAAAGATATCCTCCTGCTATGTAGGCGCTGAGAGGGAGAAGTGGTAAGTTGGATACCATTTACAAGACTACACGGCCAGACAATCCATATCACATTTTCACCTCCAAAGCTGCGCATTACTCATGTATTTCTTTTTCAAAGCTACTTAGTTGATTTAAATGTGGCATTGGATTTTAACTAAAGTAAGTCAATTGAATTTAATCTCGGCCCGCTCTGACGTACTTAACAGGAGCCTAACTGTTTAATTTGAGAACAAATCTAATGGGTATCAAATCTAAAATTTCTTGACGATGGTGAAGAGTCATTTGAATAAAAATTTCCTTAGATATTATCCATCGTCTAGTAAAATATAAAAATATAAAAAGTAAAAGACGGATAGAGTCCCATCTCCGAAACGTCGTTTTACGTTTTATATTTTATATTTTACTAGACGATGGATAATATCCAAGGAAATTTTTATTCAAATAAATCTAATGGGGTCTTTGTGGAATAAAATAAGGCAACAAATTCAGTTAAAATATGGAAACTTTAGTTAATAGTAATATTTTCCGGAATGGTTCGTTTATAACTAAAATCAAGGAAACTGAGGTAAAATATCTTTATTAAACATTTTTTTTGTTTATTAGTTTAATTAACAACGCTTCTTCAACTACATTTTAAATGTAAATTATGAATTCAAAATTATTTTAAAGGACGCGACCTTGGTTTATTTTAAGTTTATTCCCCTGCTTTATACCGTAAACTGATTAACATTCACTATAATGTAATTATGCCTCTGCGTAGCGCTGTAGGTTAACACTTCCAGAATAACTTACGTTCGGTAAATCAACATCAAGGCAAAGTAACTTGGAAACTTTCTGCATTCCATATTTGTGATATTCCCTCACAAACAAGGCTGCAGAGACCGAGTCATGACATTATATCATTAGATCTAATACAAAAATGCGCCAATACCAATATTTAAGTTACTGCCATTTCTAGACATCATCGCTATGATAACGAAGTCATCAGGTTCCTCTGCAATGTCAGTCACCTTAAGATAACTGTCTTGGGTTGTAGCTCCGTGGTAGAAGTTACCAACCATCATCAGGGCGATAATCACCCTGATGACGGAGGCAGTATGCCCTCTGAAACGTCGGTAAACTTCTACCAAACTACACAGCGCAACAACCCAGAAGACAGAAATCTTCATCGCCCTGATGATGGAGGCAGTATGACCTATGAAATGTTGGTTAACATCTACCTGACTACACGGCGCAACAATCCAGAAGACAGAAATCTTCATCGCCCTGATGATGGAGGCAGTATGACCTATGAAATGTTGGTTAACATCTACCTGACTACACGGCGCAACAATCCAGAAGACAGAAATCTTCATCGCCCTGATGATGGAGGCAGTATGACCTATGAAATGTTGGTTAACATCTACCTGACTACACGGCGCAACAATCCAGAAGACAGAAATCTTCATCGCCCTGATGATGGAGGCAGTATGACCTATGAAATGTTGGTTAACATCTACCTGACTACACGGCGCAACAATCCAGAAGACAGAAATCTTCATCGCCCTGATGATGGAGGCAGTATGACCTATGAAATGTTGGTTAACATCTACCTGACTACACGGCGCAACAATCCAGAAGACAGAAATCTTCGGTCTAACCGCCGTGAGAACCTAAAATCTTGCTTAGGTTAGAGCCCGGGACTCGTGCGATAAACCAACGCCCTGATACGTCGCGTTCCAATCATGTCGACAGCGAAGTGTCCCCAAGGAAAGATTTCATAAAAAAAAGAATTAAACTTACATCGCAGTAACAGGAGAATCCCCTCTAGGTATTCGGGTCGACAAAGGAAGCTGCACTGTGCATTGTATGTAAATCGATCAAGAGAGACCCACAAGCACAAAAAGTGATGGGGTTCATCAATTTCTGGTGGGCGGAAGAGGGTGCTTGAAGGGGTGCGGTTAGAGAAACAATGGTGCAGCTAATGGGGAATAAAGAATTATCAAATGTGTGCATCAACACGATGTGCCTTGCGTTTTCCTGACACCAGAATCATGTTATGGCTGAATAGTGGTTTTCTTATCAGTTGGTATAGGTTCTGGTCAGTAAGAGTTTAAGCTGAAGTGAGTTAGTTACATGCTCATTTCGGCAGATGTTTATTTTTAACTTCTTTTGTGGGTGGAAAAAGATTCACATTTGATATTAGGCTTTATAAGAGCATATCAAATCTAAAACTCCTTGACGATAGTGAAGATTCATTTGAATAAAAATTTCGTTGGATATTATCCATCGTCGTTTTACGTTTTATATTTTATATTTTCGAGATGATAATGTTGCGTCATATTGTGATGATTATAATTGTTTAATTTTAACCGTCTAATCACAATAAAATATTTTATTAAATATTAAAATATTATTACTACAATTAACATTTAATATTTAAAATATATTAAAATGATGCTCTTTCTATCGAAATGTTCGATTTACAATTAGAGCATCAAATCTAATCTAATCACAATAAAATATTTTATTAAATATTAAAATATTATTACTACAATTAACATTTAATATTTAAAATATTTAAAATATATTAAAATGATGCTCTTTCTATCGAAATGTTCGATTTACAATTATATTATTATTATTATTTTATTTTATATTTTACTAGACGATGGATAATATCCAAGGAAATTTTTATTCAAATGACTTTATAAGAGCATATTAAGTCAGTCCCAGAAGAATATGTTCAGTGTGTCTCATCGATAGAATAATGACATCGTAAAACCGAAGTAAATTTACCGCTACATGTTCATCACACATCAAACATTGTCTTATGTGTCATTTAATAAGATGTCGATCCTTGGCTTCTGGGTTGTGACGTCATGTATTCTTATATGTGGTTACAAGTATTTCGGAATAACGTATCGCCTTCATTTTCAGGGTTATATGAATGTGATGCATATGCTTTCGTAGGAACTTTGTAGACTATAGTAAATAAACACATTTTCAAAGATCAACGTTAGTTATTATATATTAATTACGCTTTGTAAAATACCTGAATGTTAAATGTTCCAAGGCATGCATATTTTTATTTTGTATAGACTACACGGTGGTCTAGCGGTTAGAACGCTGGCCTTGTAATCCTGGGGTCTCGGGTTCGATTCCCGGCGGTGCCCGAAATTATGACTTGTGTTGGGCAAGGCCGTGGTCTAGGCAACACGGAGTTTTCCTCCGGGGGCTTCCCAGGTTTCTCCGTGGCATCCCATTCACACACAGAAGAAGGCAATGGCAAACCACTTCTGGATCATCTGCCAAGAACGTATATGAACAGGTCCCAGTCCGAGAAGAGAAAAGGATGGAAGGAGCCTGTTCATATGGACCTGTCGTCAGACAGAACACTAAATAAAAAATAATAAATATATAAGACAACTAAACAATTGTTATATTAGTTCGTTGTGGATCTGATATCATTTAAACCAATTAATTACAATTAATGGAAATATTTTTCATTTTTAACTTCAAATTTATCCGGATGTTGTAATTCACCTTCAGTAATAACATTACTACAAAACAAGTTAAGTATCAACAGAATTATGATTTTAATTTAACTTCGTGACACATCCGATAATTTTTAAAAATTTAAATGACATACTAATCAACTGACCATTGTAATTTAACTAAACTTCGTAACAATTACATTAAAATCATTAAGAAATTAGCTGTTCCCTTCCACTTATCTCCGTGACAAATATTTTACACACTCGAACGCAAACTTAAGCACGGAAGTGACTAAAACGGCTAAGCGGGATTTTAATCATGGTTGCTATTTTAAGAGAGAATAATAACTGATGAGTAATTTAACTTTAAAGATGACGCAACTGTGGGTACTCCTACTGTAAAATGCTTGTTTAAAATATATTTTTCATTCTTACAGCTTTTCTCTTTAAGATATCTTATGTGTAAGCAGTTACGAAGTTAATAATATTTTATTCTTTTTCGTAGACAATTTTGATAAAATAAAATATTACAAAATTTTTCGCCAGGAGGATCTGCATACCATTTTATGTAGGAAAGTACTGCTGTACTGTCTAGTTTGCTTTTGTGACGAGTGGAGGCCAGACCTTCGCAATCAGTACATACCTTAAGATGACCTCTGTCTCGTCGGTAAACGTCTGCACGGTGAAACCACCTAGAAGACAGCAATCTTCATACTCAATGCCGTGAGAACCTGAAATCTCACGCAGTACAAAATTTTTCACGTTATTTTAAACGAAGAACTACCGCTGATATTTTCTGTTTCAGAATTATTTACTGTTTAAGATTATCTTTGTCATAATCGATGTACACAAAACGTTGCGAGCACAGAGCTTTGGTTTTTATTGGTAACAAACGGTATATTTAAGCTCTGTTCACACCATAAAAATGCAATGTGTCTTCATTCATGAAAGTCGTAACGAAATACAGAACGTCTAATTCTTCTTTTTGGGCTGGCGGGATTAACCGGTTTGAAACTTGATTCTCTCATTTTTCCTATTCGTAATTCCCACATATAGACATGTCATTGCACGCTATGTTATCTCTGTAGTTGATACAGAGTTATTACATAAACAACGGACGATGAAACCTTGTCTGCAGTTGAATTGTAATTGGTTTGATTTTCTTCTCGTGACTATTCTCATAAACAATCGCGACAACGTAGTTTCTCTTACATCGTAGCAGAAAACGTGTTTAACTAAATATCCCCAACATTGGAGAATACTTTCTAGAAAAATCTCAAACTTTTGCGGTGTATTCAATGAAAGTTCCATTTAGAAGTGAATTTTTATGTAATATTATAGAATATTGATATGCTTTATTAGATATAAGTAAATGTATGAAATACGTATTTAAGTGTGAAGTTTGTTGTATTGGCAATAGTGTATAGTAGATTTCGAAACAGCTGTTCGTAGATGGTTGAATATGGCTACGTTGTGGAAGTTTTCTACTAGAATTTTGCAGTTTATAGTAAGATCGCGTAGTGCTAAACAATGCTTTGTAACATTTAGAGATAAGAAAAGTGTGGGAGTGATATCTGCGACATGTATGTGTGCGGCAGGAGGAGGATTACTACTTTACGTTACGCATATTCTTGGTAAACATAGTACTGTGCACGCCTTCAAACCGAAACAGGTAAAACCACAAAACTTATTTGTTAATACTTTACTGGCTAATTGAACCGAATACGTTTTGTTTGTTAGGTATGAGCTTTTCTTAATTGTTATTGCTGTATGCACAAGGTAAATGACATGTTTGTTGTCTGACAAGTGTGAATTATGGTGTGAAAAAGCATAACCAGGCTTACATATCTAGATATAATTAGTTAAATATTTCGTGATTATTAGGTATATAATGCATAATTGGTATCTACCTTGCAGATTTTAATTTTGTAAGTGTTACCACATACACTATTGAATGGGTTTATTTCTGAACTCATCCATGTGGCATAGTCAGAGACATTTATACATTTAACCCATTGCTTTGTATTTTGCTAGTTGAAACGATATAATCCATAAAACATTTGAGAATTGTAACTTTCGAAGGCAGCAACATTTTGTTTATTTTGCAAGAGTTACTGCTTCTCAGATCTATCTGAAATCCAGTTTTAAATTTGCATAATATTTAAGGGTATCATGACTGAACAGTCATTGTTTAATTACCAATTATTTTATTTTATTTAGTACTGATACTAGGCAGAGTTTTTTTTTTATTTAACCAGCAAGCAGCTCTGTCTGTGGATCTCTTATCTTGCATATTATTTCTTAGTTTACATTTTCACTGTCTTTTAAATTTACAATAAACTGTACAGGCGTTCTCAGTTCTGAAAGTTATTTCAGAAGGTGATTTTTGTTGTTTATAATGGAGGATGCTTAGCAAGCTTAGAATATTGCAGTCTGTTATGCTTGCAATCTTGCTTGTCAGCCAAAGTCTTGTTCAGAATGTCAATTCTCTGTTATCATAAATTAATATTTAAAAGTATTTTAATTTTATGTACATTTTTCTGTTTCTTTCACTTTCATAAATCAGTATATATATATATTTGTAGTTGTTGTTGTTGTTGTTGTTGTTGTTGTTCCTTGGCTCTACAACCCAGTTGTGGGTCTTCACAACCTCCTCTTTGGAGGTTTCTTTGTCCTTGAAGTATGCATTTGTGAGTAGTGAGTGACCAGTCCACTGACTCTGCACAATTTCTACTCAATCCTGATTTGACTGCTAGAGCCATCTAGTAGTGAATCAGGAGAGACTTGGGTGAGAAATGGCCGCTTAATTTTGCTTACAGAACATCTCCCATATATATTGTTCATTTGTATTCGTTTTGCATGTCTTATTTTTTTAACTTATCTGAATTGAATTTAATTGAACTATTCCAAATATATTGATATATTTTTAAAAAAGCTTTTGCTTTCATTTTGGTATGTTTTGGAAATAATTTTTTCCTTCCTGCTCTCTAGTTACCTTTGTGTGTTAACCATTGCTACAGCTGTATAATTTCTAGATAATTTGATAATATAATTATTGTTATTTAGATGTATTTATTATTTTGTTCCTGTGCCACATATGTAATTGGCTATCTGGCTGATGATGTAGCACAGAAGTAATAAATAAATTAATTGAATTATTTTTTTTACTTAATGCTACTCTCAGTACCTCACGTCATATTGTTTGTAAACAAAATATTTATTAACAAGAATCTTTATAAATGCAAACTATTTAATTCCTAAGGATTTCTAGCATATTCTTATATCAGAATCATTGATATTTTAAAGGTCTGTTCAACACTTTCTTACCAAAGTGTAACTCATGATCTGTTTAGCGTAACTATCGTATACAGTCTGAATTCAAATAAAAATTCATTTTATATTAAAATTTAGTGTAAAACTTTTATATTTGACTATATATATATATATAGAGTAAATTCTGTGAATCAGAATTTATTAAATTAACCCACTTTTTCAAAATGTTCTAATTACATCTTTTACAGGTGTTCGCCATTCTCGTTACAATACGTTAATTAGATTGACAAATTGTCGACCTCAAACTGAAGGTGAAAATCGCTTTGTATATCGAAACTTTTCCCACAATGCAGCAAAAGTTTCCCAAATCCTAGTCCACAACGTTGCCCACACAAATAATTTTCTTATTCTGAGTCTTTGCAAGAATCAGTCCTGTTACCACAAGATTGGACTCCATTTAACTCTGCTTTAGATGTGTTTATCTTACTGTTTTTTGACGTTTTATCAACTGTTGATGTTATGCACTGCTAATAACAGTTGTCATCGAAATTCATAGTCATTCTAACGTAATTATGCCTTGTCAGTGTGAGATGTTTGCGGAATGAGAGTGTAAACTCTTGAGCACTGCTTAATCATGTCCAATTACTTTTTATGCAGATGTGTAAGGAAGTCTTGCCATGTTATTAAAATAGAGGGCATTGCACCACTGGAACATGTTGACGGCAGTCTTGAAGTTTCAAATTAGTGTTGTGTATTAACCTTGTAACAAAGTTAAAAGCTGGTCTCGTCTTTAAGCGCGATTCCATTGCTTGCTAGTGGGGAAATGTAGGTAAAAGATCTGAATGTATTTAACTTTGGCTCAAGATGGAGGTGATTGGTTTCTTTTGTGTCCAGTACACACCATTCAGCATGGTGTGCATTGGTGGTTAGCAGGATTCACTACCCTTCAGTACATGGGTTCGATGGGGACCTCGACATTTAAAGCTCCTGCTGTGACCCCTATTTTTTTGCGAGATGATGATGAAAGTGGAGTAATTGTTGGGATGCCACGGAGAGTATCTACATACGAGCATAACCCATAAGAACATTGTAATCTTCACTGCCGTGAGAATCTCAAATTATGCACAATTATTCTTGTATGTGATTTAAAATTTTCAGACGAAAGAAATTAAAGTCTTAGATTCTTCACTTGCATTGGTAATGGATGAAGGGAGATGTTAAAATCTCAGCCCGGGGATAGAACAGCAGACCGATGGCTGGTTATAAGAGCGTTTTTAAGTCCTGCATCTAAATTCAGTCACTCCAAGGCCGTCTGTATATCTTTGTTCATTTAACGACACTGTATGTATTACGTAGATTATATATTTTCAAATGACGAAAATGATTATAAATCATGTACTGTGGCGAAATTGCCACGGTGGTCTAGCGGTTAGAACGCTGGCCTTGTAATCCTGGGGTCTCGGGTTCGATTCCCGGTGGTGCCCGAATTTATAACTTGTGTTGGGCAAGGCCGTGGCCTAGGCAACACGGAGTTTTCCTCATTGGCATCCCAACAATTACTCCATTCACCCCCAGAAGAAGGCAATGGCAACCCACTTCTGGATCATCTGCCAAGAACGTATATGAACAGGTCCCAGTCCGAGAAAAGGATGGAAGGATCCTGTTCATATGGACCTGTCGTCAGACAGAACACTAAATAAAAAATAACAGATTATGAAGCACCACATTTGGATGTCATATTCTTCAACATTGTGGTCTGATTTGTGCTGGAATTTTGGGTGCTTGAAGAGTGTCCAGTGAAACCGAAACATGTCGCCCAGCGCTAAAATACGTGATATAAAATGATTAAATGTATTTACAGTACAAATATGTATATATTTGTGTGGAGGCGTACATTTGATAATATTTCTGATACAGTTTGTTACGCTGTAGTAAATAGTACAATTTTTTAATCACGAGTCAAGCCTACAGAATTTACATAGAAGATTTTGCTTAGTTTTCTCTGTGATTCGTCGTATTGAAATCGCGTCTGTTTAACTTGAAAGGATTGGGGACAAAACAATCATGACCTATTTCAAGAAATTCTCCTGGAGAGACTGGGGATAACTACGAAGCGTCCCGGATGAGATTCGAACCGGCATCATCCTTACCACCGTGACAACTTGTGTCATTGTATGAACCTGTTTACAATAGTTACTCGTAGTATAATTTTTAATAATTATAGTGGAATTTCAATAAATTTATTTAATTTATAATCCGCCTGCCCTCGAGTCAATGAAAAAAGGTCAGTTTGAAGATGGCTGTCTTGTGGGTTGTGGCGCCTTGTAGTCTGGTAGGAGGCAGTAAGGACCTCTGAAACGTCTGTAAACTTCTACAAGACTACACGGCGAAACAACCCGGAAGACAGCCAACTGACCGCCGTGAAAACCTCAAATCTTACAAAGGTAAATGTTTGCCTCAGATCTTAAAATGTTAAAAACACCTTTTGGAGAGATACCTACACGCCCTCTCTACGCTTTCGTTGCGTGGTCTTTATACACATGAACAGATTATTCCTGTTGGGCTCAGCGATACCTGAAGAGGCGTGCGTTTATTCTAAATCCTTTGTGAATGTTGTACTCCTTTTGTTTGGGTTTCTAATTTATAAGTTACGCGCCTAATGTCTAATATATTATGAACACGCCTTGAGATAAGGATTGTGTTGAAACAAGACTGTAACCTATCACAACTACGCGACTTTACAAAGTGACGGCAGGGTAAATGCATGCCACCTCAATTTTATATTCTGTTAGGTTACGTAAGAGAAGTTCCTACCTAGACCCTGGAAAGGACATATTTGTCTGGAGTATGGGTTAAGATTTATTTGTATCCAACTTTCCTTATCATCCGCACGCTGTCTTTTGTCCTATTTTCCAGAGTTCATAAATATTGTGTAGGTGTGAAAGACCTTGATGAATGGCATTCTCTGTTTTCCTCTTAATGAATAAAAGTAGCCGGTTTCATTACGTTCTGAAGAGATGAAACTTGTAGACTGTTCAAAAAGAATTCAAGTATTAACTTTTTAGAACAATGCCATACTTTAGTTTGGATAGCATTCCGATGCCGGGATTAGAACTCCGAACTATTGAATTCAGAACACAGTATCACGTGCCCAGCTTGTTCGGTAATTTTAATTGTTACTGTGGGGTGAGACTATGTCTGTGTGTCATTGAGGGCCAGTGTCCATCCCCCAGATGATACGTGAACGAATATTGATCAGCTGTTGAATGATGCTGACGGAAAAAACTAATTCAAGTACTACTTGATTCGAAATAATAATATTGCCTAAATTCTCTCATGGAAGAGTCCTTCTTTACTGGGTAGTAGACACTCAAGAATCCCCCCCTTCTTGTTCGAAAC